AGCGAGTGGCAATAGCCCTGTGGAAGCTTGCAATGCCAGACAGCTACCGGTCAGTCGGGAATCAATTTGGAGTGGGCAAATCTACTGTGGGGGCTGCTGTTATGCAAGTAGCCAACGCAATCAAAGATCTGCTGATATCAAGGGTAGTGACCCTGGGAAATGTGCAGGTCATAGTGGATGGCTTTGCTGCAATGGGATTCCCTAACTGTGGTGGGGCCATAGACGGAACCCATATCCCTATCTTGGCACCGGAGCACCAAGCCAGCGAGTACATAAACCGCAAGGGGTACTTTTCAATAGTGCTGCAAGCTCTGGTGGATCACAAGGGACGTTTCACCAACATCAACGTGGGATGGCCGGGAAAGGTACATGATGCTCGCATCTTCAGGAACTCTGGTCTGTTTCAAAAGCTGCAGGAAGGGACTTTATTTCCAGACCAGAAAATAACCATTGGGGATGTTGAAATGCCTATAGTTATCCTTGAGGACCCAGCCTACCCCTTAATGCCATGGCTCATGAAGCCATACACAGGCAGCCTGGACAGTAGTCAGGAGCTGTTCAACAACAGGCTGAGCAAGTGCAGAATGGTGGTAGAATGTGCATTTGGATGTTTAAAGGCGCGCTGGCGCAGTTTACTGACTCGCTTAGACCTCAGCGAAACCAATATTCCCACTGTTATTACTGCTTGCTGTGTGCTCCATAATATCTGTGAGAGTAAGGGGGAGACGTTTATGGCGGGATGGGAAGTTGATGCAAATCGCCTGGCTGCTGGTTACACACAGCCAGACACCAGGGAGGTTAGAAGAGCACAGGAGGGTGCGGTGCGCATCAGAGAAGCTTTGAAAACCAGTTTCATGACTGGCCAGACTACGGTGTGAAAGTTCTGTTTGTTTCTCCTTGATGAAACCCCCCGCCCCTTGGTTCACTCTACTTCCCTCTAAGCCAACCATCCTCCCCTCCTCCCTTCGATCACCGCTTGCAGAGGCAATAAAGTCATTGTTGCTCCACATTCATGCATTCTTTATTAATTCATCACACAAATAGGGGGATAACTACCAAGGTAGCCCAGGAGGGGTGGTGGAGGAGAGAAGCACCAGGAGGGGTGGTGGAGGAGGGAAGGACAAGGCTACACAGCACTTTAAAAGTTTAAAACTTTAAAACTTATTGAATGCCAGCCTTCTGTTGCTTGGGCAATCCTCTGGGGTGGAGTGGCTGGGTGGCCGGAGGCCCCCCCACTACGTTCTTGGGCGCCTAGGTGAAGAGGCTATGGAACTTGGGGAGGAGGGCGGTTGGTTACACAGGGGCTGTAGCGGCGGTCTGTGCTCCTGCTGTCTTTCCTGCAGCCTAACCATACGCTGGAGCATATTAGTTTGATCCTCCAGCAGCCTCAGCATTGAATCCTACCTCCTCTCATGACGCTGCCGCCACCTTTCAGCTTCAGCCCTCTCTTCAGCCCGCCACTTACTCTCTTCAGCCTGCCACCTCTCCTCTCGGTCATTTTGTGCTTTCCTGCACTCTGACATTATTTGCCTCCACGCATTCGTCTGTGCTCTGTCAGTGTGGGAGGACAGCATGAGCTCAGAGAACATTTCATCGCGAGTGCGTTTTTTCCGCCTTCTAATCTTTGCTAGCCTCTGCGAAGGAGAAGATCCTGTGATCCTTGAAACACATGCAGCTGGTGGAGAAAAAAAAAGGGACAGTGGTATTTAAAAAGACACGTTTTATAGAACAATGGGTACACTCTTTCACGGTAAACCTTGCTGTTAACATTACATACATATCACATGTGCTTTCGTTCCAAGGTCGCATTTTGCCTCCCCCCCCAGTGCATGGCTAGCCCCTTCCCCCTCCCTGTGGCTAACAGTGGGGAACATTTCTGTTCATCCACAGGCAAACAGCCCAGCAGGAACGGGCACCTTATTTCAACCAGGTGACCATGAATGATATCACTCTCCTGAGGATAACACAGAGAGATAAAGAACGATGTTGTTTGAATGCCAGCAAACATACACTGCAGTGCTTTGTTCTACAATGATTCCCGAGTACATGCTACTGGCCTGGAGTGGTAAAGTATCCTACCATGGTGGATGGAATAAGGCTGCCCTCCCCAGAAACCTTTTGCAAAGGCTTTGGGAGTATATCCAGGAGAGCCACGAATGCCAGGGCAAATTAATCATTAAACATGCTTGCTTTTAAACCATGTATAGTATTTTAAAAGGTACACTCACCAGAGGTCCCTTCTCCACCTGGCGGGTCCAGGACGCAGCCTTGGGTGGGTTCGGGGGGTACTGGCTCCAGGTCCAGGGTGAGAAACAGTTCCTGGCTGTTGGGAAAACCGGTTTCTCTGCTTGCTTGCTGTGAGCTATCTACAACTTCATCATCATCATCTTCCTCGTCCCCAAAACCTGCTTCCGTGTTGCCTCCATCTCCATTGAAGGAGTCAAACAACACGGCTGGGGTAGTGGTGGCTGAACCCCCTAAAATGGCATGCAGCTCATCATAGAAGCGGCATGTTTTGGGCTCTGACCCGGAGCAGCTGTTCGCCTATCTGGTTTTCTGGTAGGCTTGCCTCAGCTCCTTAAGTTTCACGCGTATTGCTTTGGGTCCCTGTTATGGCCTCTGTCCTTCATGCCCTGGGAGATTTTGACAAATGTTTTGGCATTTTGAAAACTGGTACGTAGCTCTGATAGCATGGATTCCTCTCCCCATACAGCGATCAGATCCTGTACCTCCCGTTTGGTCCATGCTGGAGCTCTTTTGCGATTCTGGGACTCCATCATGGTCACCTCTGCTGATGAGCTCTGCATGGTCACCTGCAGCTTGCCACACTGGCCAAACAGGAAATTGAAATTCAAAAGTTTGCGGGCCTTTTCCTGTCTACCTGGCCAGTGCATCTGTCTACCTTGAGAGTGCTGTCCAGAGCGGTCACTCTGGGATAGCTCCCGGAGGCCAATACCATCTAATTGCGTCCACAGTACCCCAAATTCGACCCAGCAAGGCCGATTTCAGTGCTAATCTCCTTGTCGGGGGTGGAGTAAGGAAATCGATTTTAAGAGCCCTTTAAGTCGAAAAAAGGGCTTCGTCGTGTGGACGGGTGCAGGGTTAAATCGATTTAACGTTGCTAAATTCGACCTCAACTCCTAGTGTAGACTAATAGCGATATCTTGGAGAGTTCCTGGAAGCCTTACCCTTCCTATTATTTCAATTGGCAAGAAGAGGAAAGCTTACACCACACACAGTCAACCTCTGGAACTCTTTGAACTAGATAAGTTCATGGAGGATAGGTCCATCAATGGTTATTAGCCAGGATGGACAGGACTGGTATCTCTAGCCTCTGTTTTCCAGAAGCTGGGAATGGGCAACAGGGGATGGATCCCTTGATGATTTGCCTGTTCTGTTCATTCCCTCTGGGGCACCTGGCATTGGCCACTGTCAGAAGACAGGATACTGGGCTAGATGGACCTTTGGTCTGACCCAGTATGGCTGTTCTTACGTTCTCACAATGAGCTTTGACCTGAGATCCTGTGCAGATCTAGGACTGTGGGACTTCTTGGCCCCTGAGTTCATGTTACAGAAGGTGAGTTGGTATCAATGGCACTTACCTGTGTTGAAGTAACTCCTGAGGAAGTTGGGGCCAGATTGTGTTGTCAGGCATGGTGCCCTCAGCTGCAATCAGTGGGAGTAGCTCATATCCTGTCCTGGGAAAACAGTTCCACAGAATTCTAAGCCTGGGTTTTCCTGCCTCGTGTTTGCTGACAGGTGGTAAAATCCTCACGATGACAAGACAGTTAGGAGTTTTCACGTGTTGGAGCAGCTCAAGATTAAGACTGTGGTTTTTGGGTGGAGCCTATGGTTTACCTTTTCCTGGTCATGTGTTAAAATCACACCACCTTTTCTTTGCTAGATTTTACCTGAATTTAGGGCTTATCTACGTGGTAAATTACTGCATAGCAAGCGAGGGTGTTGATCTGCAGTGAATCTTTCTGCCACGCAGTAATGGCCACTGCTACAGTGCACAGAAAGTCTCAGGGTTAGGCTTGGTGTACTATGCTTTCAAATAGTGCAACGCCACACCACACTCTCGCACTTTCAGTGTGCCGGAGCAGCGTCCACATGGGATGTTAGTGCATAGCAAGTTGGGGCCCTGTAGCATCATACCCTGGCTGGCTGCTCAGTAATTTGCCATGTACACAAGCCCTTAATCCCACGTGTCAGCTTTTCTGAGGTAAGAACACACCTTTTCCCTAGTGGCGACAAGGCCTTCCAGCGGTAAGTGGGTTGGAGTGACTTCAGATTAGAGCTGGTTGAAAAGTTTTTGTCTTAAGTTTTTTTTTTTTTAACGAGCAAATGGTTTTTTCACAAAAATTGAAGCTTGCTCCAAATAAAATTCAGATTTTTTAATTTTTTTAAAAAAAATTAAGAAAAGAAAAGCAAACACTTTACACTGTTTTTCGTTTACGTTTTTGTTTTTTGATGGAAGGTCAAGAAATTTTGATGCAAATTAAAATTTTTCCCTTTCATTAACATTTTTTGTAGGAAAAAATAAATTTTATATAAATGTATACACTTTATATAACTGCCCCTTCATTAGTATTATCAATTTCCATTCATTCTAAAGAACGTTTTCCTTTGTTTTTGAAAAGAATGAGCTGGTTTTGGAAGCAAACAGATAATATTCCAGTGTGTTGATTTTTTGATAAGACATTCCTTTGTCAGAAGCAGAAGTTTCCTTCTTATTGGACCTCAGTCATTTGATCTCGTTATCGAAGGCATTAATTGCTTTATAATCTCAGCACCCAAGAAAAGAAATGAATTTTTAAATACACAGAAGGTGTTGACGTTGGATTAGTGCGGTGCTATAGGAAATTGGGTGTCAGTAATTAATGGAACATGGGGCGGTATCCTGGGTACAATGCCCACGGTATTAAAGTAGCGACTCCGTATCACAGACTTCAGCCCACTTCTGCTCCGGAGACTGACACATTCTGTACAGGAGCCAGCTGGTGGAGAAATCAAGCACCATGAAGTGGTTCATCCTGGCCTTGGTTTGCCTCCATCTCTCAGAGGGGCTGGTGAGGTGAGTATCCCAGTGCCGGCACTGGAGTGATGAGGACATAGAAGTACCTAGATAGGTAATAGACAGACATCCGCATTTCTGTATTCAGTTAAGCCATGCCCTTATCTTTCTTTAAACCTTCTACTATTTCTGTGATATGGGCAAATATACTTATGCCTCTGCAAGGGCTTCCTCACTTTGGTGGTAAAACATTGACCAAGATGAGGGAACAGCATCATGGCAGGGACAACATGACAGGTGATGGAAAGATGAACGCTTTCCTTGCTGATTTCTGAGTTCTCTTCTTCACTCTGTGCAGAGTCACACTGAGGAAAGGCAAGTCTGCTCGAGAGGTGATGAAGGAGAAGGGAGTGCTGGAGGACTTCCTGAAGAACCACAAAGTTGATCCAGCCAGAAAGTACCACTTCAATAATTACAATGTTGCTGATGAACCAATAGCTAACTACCTGGATGTGAGTATTAAGGCTCTCTCTCTCTTCTCTTCCTATCAGAGGCTCGTTCACCTGCACATCTACCAATGTGATATATGCCATCATGTGCCAGCAATGCCCCTCTGCCATGTACATTGGCCAAACTGGACAGTCTCCTATGTAAAAGAATAAATGGACACAAATCAGACGTCAAGAATTATAACATTCAAAAACCAGTCGGAGAATGCTTCAATCTCTCTGGTCACTCGATCTCAGACCTAAAGGTCACAATATTAAAACAAAAAGACTTCAAAAACAGACTCCAATGAGAGACTGCTGAATTGGAATTAATTTGCAAACTGGATACAATTAACTTAGGCTTGAATAGAGACTGGGAATGGATGGGTCATTACACAAAGTAAAACTATTTCCCCATGTTTATCCCCCCCCCCACTGCTCCTTGGACGTTCCTGTCAACTGCTGGAAATGGCCCACCTTGATTATCACTACAAAAGGTTTTCTCCCCCGCGCCCCCCCCCCAGCTCTCCTGCTAGTAATAGCTCGCCTGAAGTGATCACTCTCCTCACAGTGTGTATAACACCCATTTTTTCATGTTCTGTGTGTATATAAATCTCCTCACTGTATTTTCCACTGAATGCATCCGATGAAGTGAGCTGTAGCTCACGAAAGCTCATGCTCAAATAAATTGGTTAGTCTCTAAGGTGCCACAAGTCCTCCTTTTCTTTTTGCAGATACAGACTAACACGGCTGCTACTCTGAAATCTCTCTTCCTTCACTATTCTATAGCTCTAACTAGCTATTCCTTCCTTATTACCTACCTACCCACATAATTACCTAATAAATCTATGTACTCGTCTGGTCCCATTGGAGTAGTACCTATTTCTTCTTCTTTATGGTGATAAGTCAATAGAAGGTTTTGATCCCTCTTCTCGGACCTTGGAAAACTGTAAGTATTTGTAGAAAAGGTGGCGCTTGGCTTCTGCTGTTTATTTTCTGCTTTGTTACTCTCAAGTATTTGCTGTATGTTCTCTGGGACCTTTCCAGAGAACGGTGTTAGGATTGTAGTATAGGGCTGGGAGTGAAGAAATCTGGGGTCTGTTCCTGGCTGTGCTACTGAATTCTGGGTGAGCTTGGGCAAGTCACTTCCCCTCTCCATGACTCCTTTGTCCAGTATGCAATAGGGGAATAATGGTAAACGTCTTCTCTCACCCCTTGTGAAGCTTAGCTCATTAAGGCGCTAAAAACCTTTTGGATCCTCAGCTGGAAGTAGTTAGAGAAGTGCAAAATGTTATTTAAAAATTATTAATAGTGCAAAGGAATCCACCTGGCCACACGTCTTCTCTGTTTTGCAGTCCTTCTATTTTGGACAGATCAGCATTGGAACTCCGCCCCAGAACTTCCTGGTTCTCTTCGACACCGGCTCCTCCAACCTGTGGGTGCCCTCTACATACTGCCAGAGCCAGGCCTGCAGTGAGTACTGCTTAGTTCCTGAGCGTTCGGTGGGTGCATGTCCTGGGTGCATTGTTCCTGAGAAGCATAGTCAAATTCCAACCAGGCAAGAAGAACTGGTCCTCTCAAACAGGCTTGGGAATGTCATCCACCCACATCTGCTAGTCCCTTTCTGGAGCTCTTCACTAAGCTATGGCGACAATATGGATCGCCCTTTCCTTATGAACAGGTATTATGGCATTCTAAAGACGTGGTCGCCAATGTCAGTGGCGATGCTGCAGTGTATTCTGAAGTTCAAGGAGTCACACTGGTAGACAACAACTGGTTTGAATGGCGTAACTATTGGCCAGCCTTCAGCAGATGTAAATTGACATAGGTGGGTTGATTTCAAAAGAGCTACTCTGATTTACAACAACAGAGGATCTTGCCCAAATTTCTTAGCTACTCTGGTGATGGGTGCAATAGAGATAATAAGATAGATAATGTCGGTGACGCGAGCAGAGGGGGTCAGGCCTAAAGGTTAGACGAGGAGGTGGTAGTCAGGAATTGGAGGTCAGGGTCTGAACCGGAGTTAGAGGCCCCATGAAAGAACCAAGGAGCTAGTCTGCTGTCTTAGGAGCTAGTTTACTGCCTCTTTACAGCAATCAGGCCACCTACCATAGGCCAGCTGCGCTCTGCAGGCTGGCTCTGCTACAGGCCCTGGCTCCTGACAGATAGATAGGTACAGAAGACGGACCTTAAAAAATGCGGTGATGCAATTTGTATTAGTGCTCTTCTCTGTTGTGCAAAACCTCCTGGCCTAACTCTTGGATCTGTGCTTCCACCCCACGGGAAGTCAGCTGTTGGGAGGTGCTGCCCTGTCAGGCTACTCAGTTACCAGCTGGATGGGAGGCGGCCAAATCCAAGAGAGTCACCATGATCTTGTTTTTAATCTAGCTAATCATGCCAGGTTCAACCCCAACCAGTCATCCACCTTTTCCAACAACGGACAGACCTACACCCTGAGCTACGGGAGTGGCAGCCTGACTGTGTGTTTGGGTTACGACACAGTGACAGTAAGTGAAATACGCACTGCCCTATCCTGCATCATCATTCACACAGTCCAAGACCAGAAGGCACCATTGCGATCATGGAGTCTGACTTCCTGTATAACACAGCCCCTAGCACGTTCCCAAAATATTTCTCAGAGCAGATCTTTTAGAAAAACGTCCTGTCTTGATTTCAAAATTGCCAGAATCCACCACAACCCTTGGTAACATATTACAATGGTTAATTACCCTCCTGGTTAAAAATGTATGTCTTATTTCCACTCTGAATTTGTCTATCTTCAATTTCCAGCCATTCGATCGTGTTAGACCTTCCTCTGTTAGCCTGAAGAGTCCATCATTAAATATTTGTTCCCGTGGAGATACTTTTAGGGTGTAATCAAGGCACCCCTTAACTTTCTCTTTGTTAAGCTAAACAGATGGATCTCTTTGAGTCTATTGCTATAAGGCATGTTTTCTAATCCATTTGAGCTGCATCTCTAAAATCATCAGACTGCATTAGTATTAAAAACAGCAGAGGTCATTGATAAAACTTTTCTCTAGAATATGTGACACGTTGCTCTAGTTTTACTGCATGGGACATTTATTTGAGGACACTTTATGAGCTAAATGAATCCATGATTGGATTCCATTGGTTTCAGTGTTGTGACGCCAGAGATGAAATTGGTCCTGTACATTTGATTTTTAAGTTGTTGATTGGGCCCTGTTAATACAGGACATAATAAGGGCTTGTGTACATGAGAAACTTGCACCAGTTTTAACTTAAGGTGTGAATTTAAACCGATTTAGTTAAATCCGTGCAAACCCCAGTGTCGACCGTCCTATGTCTGTTTAAGAGTGGCTTATTTGGGTGTAGCTGAATTGATCAGAAACATTAGATGGCACAGTCATCTGATTTCGTTACCGTAACTTTGTGTGAGATTCCAGGTGACAACAATTATTTTCTTCCCGGCTAGGTCCAGAACATTGCCATCACCAATCAGGAATTTGGTCTGAGTGAAGATGAACCTACCAGCCCCTTCTACTATGCTCATTTTGATGGGATTTTGGGAATGGCTTATCCTGCCATGGCAGTAGGGGGGTCCTATACACCTATGCAGGAGATGTTGAAGCAGGGCCTGCTTACTGAACCCATCTTCAGTTTCTATTTCTCCAGGTAAGATCTCTCTCTCTCAAAACCCATCTCTCTGAGTCTATTACCATATATAGCACTCTATTTTTCCATTTCTCTTTCACATTGTATCAGTCTGTCTGGCTGTCTCGCTCTATATCATATACCAACTTATCCACCCACTCTTTATCTGACTCTATTTATCTATACATCTGCTCGCACACCCACCCACCCACCGCTATGTCTCTTCACTCACTGGGTGACAGGGGATGGATCCCTTGATGATTACCTGTTCTGTTCATTCTCTCTGAAGCATCTGGCATTGGCCACTGTTGGGAGACAGGATACTGGGCTAGATGGATATTTGGTATGACCCAGTATGGCCGTTCTTATGTCCTATCTGTCTGTCTGTCTACTACCATAAGTACCCCTCTGTTTATTTTCTCTCTAACCATTGACCCCCCCCACACATACCATCTCACTCCCCATCCACATATATGTTACAGATCCTGCTCCATAGGAGGGTAGTTTCTGTGTAACATATGTCTGACATGTGTAACCATGCGTGTTTCCAGCCAACCAACATATAGTTATGGAGGAGAAATCATCTTTGGAGGCGTTGACACCCAGCTGTTCTCTGGCCAGATTACATGGGCACCTGTGACGCAAGAGGTTTACTGGCAGATTGGTATTCAGGAGTAAGTTTCGTTTGCAACCCCTCCTCCCGCCCTTTCCTTTCCTCCTTACGGTCTGTAGGAAGCCTTTCTGGCTATAATGAGTGGATTCAGTTGTCCTGTGTCAACTCAAGCTCTCTGTGGAGGAGGATGAATTTGGATCGGATCTGGATTTCAGGCACCCTCAAAAGGAGTTTGGATCCAGGTTTTTGATTCTAGTAATAATAAAAGCTCCTAACCTAGGCCTCTGTTCTGCAAACCAATTTGAACTTTAAACACATGAGGAAATCCCATTCATGTTAATGGGACTTAAGTGTTTACTTAAAGTGAGGCGTATGCTTAAGTGCTTTGATGAAAGAGATGGGCTTAAGCTTGTACTAAGAGTTAAGCATGTGCGTCTGTGCTTTGCTGAATCGGGGTCAGTGACAATGCTTGGCTGTATAGAATAAGGGTCCCTGGGCTGCAGGTTATCGTGTATCCAAAACCTTGTCTCATCCTGCATCAGAGGCAGTTCTTTTTGCAGACAAGTTGCTATAATGATGTTTCTTGTATTTCCTTCCTTAGGTTTGCTATCGGACAGCAGGCGACTGGCTGGTGCAGCCAAGGCTGCCAGGCTATTGTGGACACCGGGACATTTCTGCTCACCATCCCACAGCAGTACATGGGGTACTTCCTGCAGGCTGTGGGTGCTCAGGAATCCAATGGAGAGGTAGGAGCAACAGGTGCCTTGCCATGCTGCCGAGGAGGTTTGTGAGGGATTTTGCAATGCCTGACATGAGGAATTTAAGACACAAGAAGATGAGAATGATGGGCTTTTCGGTGATCAGACAAGGGTTCTGAGAGGAGCTCAGGGGCTGGAGTCTTAAAGCTAAACGCTAACTCCATCTGGGGAACAGAAAGTCTCTCCTGAGTTTGCGGGCAGAGCTTCTGATCTCTCTTTCCCCAGTGTAAATCAGAAGTAACTCTACCGATGTCTGTGGGCCAGATCCGGCTGGTGTAAATCAGCACAGCTCTGGAGTTACGCTGATTTACACCAATTGAGGAGCCGGCCCAGTGTAAAATCAGCAGGAGATCTGAAGCAGGCTTGGTGAACGTAACCTTGCTGGTGTTCCCATGCAAGGCAGGGGAGCGTGTGTGGGGCTGGTGAAGCTGCTGCCCAAGCGAGGGCGGAGTGCAGCGGGGTGGTTTCTCCCCTCTGTTGGATAGAAGGGTCAATACCTGGCAAAGCTACTCGCCTCTATTGGAGGCCCTGTAAGGGCAGCTTCTGCTCTCCGTTGTCACAGTCGTAACCCTCATTTGTCTTTCGTTTCCACAGTACTTAGTGAACTGCAACAATGTCCAGAACATGCCGACCGTCACCTTCGTCATCAGCGGATCCCAGTTCCCGCTGCCCCCCTCTGCCTATGTCTTCAACGTATGTATTATTTTAACAGCATAAAACACCTTTATCTCACCCAGACAGTGGCCCAGCAGGGAGTCAGAGTTTCTGCGCAAATGCCGAGGCCTTTCTCCTGCACTGCCCCTCTGTTTTCCTGTCGTTCCTACCATCGCTGTAAATGGTGGGGTGTTTGCATTCCAACAGTGTGAGCTTGTAGGGCAGAGGTGGGCAAACTACGGCCACATCCAGCCTGTGGGACCGTCCGGCCTGGCCCCTGAGTTTCTGGCCGGGGAGGCTAGCCCCCTGGCCCCTCCCCTGCCGACCCCCCTCCCCCGCAGCCTCACCTCGCTGCGCTGCCGGTACTCTGGCCCACCGGTGGCGTGGCTGTGAGCTCCTGCCGCTCTGAGCAGCGCGGTAAGGGGGCGGGGAGCGGGGGGTCTGGATAGGGGGTGGGGTCCGGGGGGGGGCGGTTTGGGGCGTGGGGTCCCGGGAAGGGGCGGTCAGAGGACAAGGAGCGGGGGGGGGGAGGTTGGATGGGTTATGAGGGGGGCAGTCAGGGGGCGGGAAGTGGGAGGGGGCAGAGGGGCGGGGGCCAGGCTATTTGGGGAGGCACAGCCTTCCCTACCCGGCCCTCCATACAGTTTTGCACTCCGATGTGGCCCTCGGGCCAAAACATTTGCCCACCCCTGTTGTAAGGCCTGCCCCTGCTCCCATCAGTCATTGCAAAGCTGCCACTAATTCTGCTGGGGTTCCTGTGGCTAGCCTACAGAGCCCTCTGCCGTGTCAAACAACAGCCCTGATGCGACCTCTCTCTGTTTTTCCCTCTGATAGAATAATGGCTACTGCACAGTGGGGATTGAGCCCACGTACCTGCCCTCCCAGAATGGGCAGCCGCTCTGGATCCTGGGAGACGTCTTCCTCAAGGAATATTATTCTGTCTTTGACATGTCCAATAACAGAGTGGGCTTTGCCCCATCAGCCTAGACAAGCAATTCATCGACTTGAACCAGACAAAGCCTTTCCCATTCCTCTTTTCCGCTGGACACTGATGGAATCAGACGACGCTCATATGGACAGATTGCATCCTTCTTAATTTGCCTTCCGCAGCTTTTCTTTGGCTTGCTTGCACCAAGTAGTGCTCTCCAAATGTATCGTTACAAATAAACTGCAGTGAATCAAATTGTCTTATGTCGTCTTTGGAGTTTGTGGAGTGAAGATTGAGCTCGGCTGTTTGTTTGTGGGTCCCACAACCTTATGATGGCACACAAACTACTCACTGGGGCACAAAGCAGCACGTTAACCTCTTTGGGTCCATCTACGCTGCCATAAAAACCCTGCAGCACCGAGTTTCAGAGCCCAGCTCCGCTGACTTGGGCTGGGGCTGCAGGGCTACAAATCACAGTGTCGAGGTTCAGGCTTGGGCTCTGAGACCCTCCCCACTCATACGGTCTCAGAGTCTGGGCTCCAGCCTCTGTTATCCACCCTGGGCCAGACTTTTGAAAGAGCTGGGCACTTAGGGTATGTCTACACTGCAATGCAAGCCTGGGCTCAGTCCCAGACTTGAGCCCAAACCCCTTTCTGTCTACACACAAATCCCTCAAACTCGGGCCTGGACTTAGGGTCCTATCATCAACTTTCCTATTATAAATCAACCTGGGTGGTCTATGAGGGCCTGCTTCCAGACAGTTATAGCAACCTGCTTCTGGACTGGCAAGGCTGCCCCCTTGCATGTATTGTTACACTGGAGGGTTAGGCCAAGCTGCTCACAAAGTTCCAGAAATGTAGATTTCTTCATATGCAAGTTCTGGACCCACTGCTGGTCATCTTAGGTCAGCATGACAATGTGATTCCCCCTGCACTGTGCTTGTGGCCCTGCTCCATAGGGGGGTCTACATAGGGGGCATCAGCGGCTATACTGGCTGTATTGAGCAGCATCAGCTAGTTCATGTCTGCTGTGTCTGTGTCCTCCTCCTCCTGATTCATCCATAAAGTTTGCCAGGTGCCTTTGGTGGGTCAGGAAACGCAGTCAAAATGCCCACAGGTGAGTCATGGAAGCTCTGCCTATTTCCTGACACAGGAGTGAAAGCGCAAGCCACAAAAGCTCTTGAAAAAGGCACCTCCTCCATGTTGCTGGCACCGCACAGACCAAAATGGTGGCTCAGCAGGCTGTCTTGGTGGGCTGTTCAAACTTCCTGTACCATGCTGGGCAGACAGGCAAGATTTCCCACTCTATGCCAGGGTCAAAGGGCTAGAGCAGGCACATTTCAGTAGGGTGCTGAAGGGTCCGGGGAATGGTTGATTTGACTCATATCTGTGTGCTGCAGCGTGGGCACCAGAGCCCCAGGTTTGCACCCAGATTAGAAAATCCTTAACGTAGGGTTAACCATCAGTGTAGATGCTCAAGACCTGGAGTTTTTAAGCCAAGGTGAGCTGAGGTCCACTAACCTTGGGCTTACACTGCAGTGTAGACAGACCCTTAGTGGCTCCCATTGAGAACAATGGAGAATTCTTCCTATATTCCTATTGGAAACCAAATTTCCGAATTCTCTTTCTTTGCACAGCTGTGATGGAGAGGCTGATAGTTACCTCGCTTACACAGGGGGCTGGGGAAGCTTCATTCACTGATGTTTGTGATATGTTTTGAGATTCGCAGATGGGAGAGGGCGTAACAGGACAAAATGTGGTTGCGGTGAAGGAGGGAAGGACCCACTATGTTCCTTACCCCCTTACCTACGTACAATATTTACATGCTGTGACGCTGCATGGACCTCCCAAGGCTCCGGTTCTGTTCCTAGCCAAGACTAGCCAAACCAGTGGAGTGGTACGTGGTGCCCCTGCCTTCCCATCTCGGCACCAGATTTGGTTTTGCCTGAGACTCATTACTGTTTCACACATTGCCAGTGCAGAACCTAATATGGAAACACATGCTTGGCCTTAGAGGTGATGGACTAGAACAGAGGTGGGCAAACTACAGCCCGTGGGCCACATTTGGCCCTCGGGACTGTCCTGCCTGGCCCTTGAGCTCCCGGCCAGGGAGGCAAGCCCCCGGCCTCTCCCCTGCAGCCGCAGTGCCACCAGAGCTCTGGGCAGCGGGGCTGCGAGCCCCTGCTGGGCTGAGCGGCTGCGAGAGCCCCTGGTGTAGTGTATTAAATTGCTCCCTGGAGGAATGTGCTACTTACTTACGCCCAGGGCCAGATTAAGACCTTTAGAGGCCCTAAGCACTGAAAAGATTATGATGCACCCCCACAGGTAATTCAAAATAAAAACAATACTATAACTTAAAATAAAATTTTATTTTTCGAAATGACACAAAATTTACATGTATACTGAAATTAAAATAGCTGCTTTCTAGATTTTCTGATTGCAAAATTCTGGTTAAGTTCATCGAAGCTGATTCGACGAAGCATGTCCGCTTCCATACACAATAGGGAAAGTGAATCAAGTCTGTCCTGACACGTTGTTCTCTGAGGGTTTTTTATTCTTTTCAGCTGAGAAAAGATTTTTCCCATGATGACTACTTCGGAAGTTTTTTTTGAAATATCAAATATAAAATTTTTTTTAAAAAAAATCTAATTTTTTTTGGTGCCCCCTGCTTTGCTAGTGCCCTAAGAACGTGCTTAGTCTGCCTATTGAGTAATCTAGCCCTGCTGCCAGTCCTAGTGCTCTGAGCAGCATGGTAAGGGGGTGGGGGTGGGGAGGAGTTGGATAAGGGGCAGGGCGTCCTGGGGAGCAGTCAGGGGACAGGGAGCGGTTGGATAGGTGTGGGAGTCCTGGGGGGGTCTCTCAGGGGGCAGGGTTGTGGATAGGGGTCGCGGCAGTCAGGGGACAGGGTACAGGGCGGGTTGGATGGGTCGAGGGTTCTGGGGGGGCAGTCAGGGAATGGGGAACGGGGAGTTTGGGGCGGGGGGTCCCGGGAGGGGGCAGTCAGGGACAAGGAGTGGGGGGGGGCGGTTGGATGGGTCAGGAGTTCTAAGGGGGGCAGTCAGTGGGAGGGGGCAGATAGGGGATGCGGGGCCAGGCTGTTTGGGGGAGGCACGGCCTTCCCTACCCTGCCCTCCATACAGTTTCGGAACCCCGGTGTGGCCCTTGGGCCAAAAAGTTTGCCCACCCCTGGACTAGAAGAACTCATGAGCAGCAGCTGTGCAAACCCTGTGCCCACTGAAATCTGTGTGAATTCTGCCATTGACTTTAATTCACTCGGGATTTGGGGGTGCAACGCGGACAGACAGAAGCAGACAGCTCCGGTGGCTGAGGATTCAGGACAGAGGAGGGTTCCGTTATGTGATGAAGCTGGTGGGGGCAGCTGGCTACTAAAACCAGCGGATGGGTGAAAAAACTCCATCAGCCATGAATGCTGCATTAGTTAATTGGCCTTTGAGCACCAGTGAAAAGGGGCATCTGAGCTGGAGAAAGTGAGAGAGATTAGATACCAGAGTATACAACATGGTTCAGTCTGTGTCCAAAGCCTGTCATCACTTATTGCACTACTAGAAGGTGTTCAGACACTATATCAATGAACATGGGATAAGAACCTCTATAGAAAAGAAATTCCTAGAAGGTGCAATGTGGCTTTTCTGGTATTCTGTTCCATTCAATGTCCTTTGGAAGAGACCCAAAAATCAGGGTGGTTTGATTCCAGGGAACTTTCATAAGGTGAAGGATTTGTCCTAGAGACCTTGTTGACATTATCGTTACTTAATATTGATTTTACAGAAGCACTTAGAGGCCTGAATTGAAACTGAGGCTTATTGTGCTAGGTGCTGTACACATATATAAGGTACAGAGCAGCAATTTAGCCCCTCTGAAGCAAAGAGATAACACTCCAGTGGTCTGACATTTTGATAGCAGCTTGCTTTGTTGTAAGCAGCAGTTTGTATCGTAATCATTTGACCTCGCTATCTTAGAACCATAAGCCTGGCTTAATTTGCTTAAACTACATTGAAATAAAACTCACTGTAAATCAAAACAAGAGCATTCACAGAGGGGTTTGCAGTGGTTTAATTAAATAAGTTTTAAAAGCTTTATAAGTTAAACTAATGCAACCTTTTCATGTAGACAAGCTCTGAATTAACCAGGGTGTGGGTCGGTTAGGAATAATGTTGGCTACACTGACCCATTACTAGGCATAAGTTCCACGGCTATATTTATATAGATTAGATTATAGATATTTATTTGCTGTTTTTCATCTATATAGTGGCCTTGAATTTTCTTCTCTGAGGCAGTGTTTTCTCCACTAACTCCAGCCCCAGATCAAGTATATGCCGCTATTAAGAAAGGCATCAGATCAGCATCTAACCTTTGTGAGGTGCTTTATCTCAATTTTTTGAGCATTGCTTACCCTTAATAATGATACAGTCATTTGCGAATACAGACTAACACGGCTGTTACTCTGAAACCAGTCATTTGATTAAATTACCATAATTTTGTGTAAAATTTGAGTGTAGAGCAATTATTTTCTTCCCCTCTAGATCCAGAACATTGTCCTCAAACACCAGGCATTTGGCCTGAATGAGGATGAGCCTACCAGCCCCTTCTGCTATTCTTATTTCAGTGGGATTTGGGGAATGGTTTATCCTGGTTTAGTGATGACAGGACACAACACAGTTCTGCAGGAGATGGTACAAAGCAGGGCCAGCTTACTGAACCCATCTAGAGATTCCATTTCTCCCGGTAAGATCTCTGTCTCTCTTTCTATAATTCTCTATATCACCAAATGTTGTTTTCCTGTCTTGTCTGTGTCTGTCCATTCCTCACACACATCCATCAACTAACCCTCCATCCCCATGTATTTTATGCTCCCTGCCTCACAGGAGGGTAGCTGGGTTGGGAAGGAATTTTCCTTCAGGGCAGATTGGAAGAGGCCCTGGAGGTTTTTCGCCTTCCTCTGTAGCATGGGGCATGGGGCACTTGCTGGAGGATTCTCTGCACCTTGAAGTCTTTAAACCATGATCTGAGGACTTCAATAGCTCAGACATAGGTGAGAGGTTTATCGCAGGAGTGGGTGGGTGAAATTCTGTGGCTGCATTGTGCAGGAGGCCAGACTAGATGATCATGATGGTCCCTTCTGACCTTTATATCTATGAAT